CGATGCAAAGCACAACTTAAATGCATATTCCAAATTCTTGCCCCAAAGCCTTCCTCTTTGTGCACTGAAAAGGAGGAAAGACAACCCCATCAATTGTTCTCTGCGGATAAAGGCGCTGATTTGCAGATTTCCCCCTAGCTCTGAGCCAGCCTTTCTAATGACCTGCCCACCCACCTGGGGCCCTTTCCGAGGTGGCCCACGGGAACTGCCCCACACCTTCGGGAGCCCAACTGCTTGACAGCGTGCAGCTCAGGAAAGACCGCCTTTTCGTTTAGCTGTTGTCTCCCACGAAGGTGCAAACTGCAAGAACTTGGGAGACTTACTTCCTACAGGAGGGGGGGGGTGTGTGTCTCGAGAACACTTTTCCTTTAATCTCACTTTTTTCACCCTCACGAAAAACACAGCTGAAGGTAAATCTGCAGCATTTTTCTGCCGAGAAAACACGAGCTCAAGATACCAAAGCAGCCTGGGGTTCTCTCACACGCCGGCACGAAGGCAATGGAGCAAAAGCTGAATGAAAGTTTGGGGGCCTGTGGCCTCCCCCCGCCCCCCTTTAGCTTAAGACCACCAGCTGTTATGGCACACACAAAAGCTAAGGACAGTGCCATGTTTCAAAGGCCCACATTTAAATGAGATAGCCAGAAAACGGGGCCTGAGTAACGTGGAGGGTTTGATCTCGCCGTGGCCCGTCCGCGTCCACAAGCCGGCCCCTTATTTGTGAACGGTGCCGACGGGCTCCCCTCCCGGGCCGGCCCCTGTCCGGGGAGGTCGCGGCCTCCGCTCCCGTCCTTTTTAGGGACTGGAAGGTGCGGTGGGGTCCCAAGCCAGGCACGAGCACTCAAGGAGGTTTCCCCCCAGCCCGGGGGAGCCGGGGGCGAAGTCCGCCGTCCAGACCGGCGGGTTTCAGGTCCGAGTCTCCGGGGAGCCCCCCACCCCACGAACGGCTCGCCAACTTCCCACGCCCAGAATGCCCTGGAAGAACTTCTCCGCTTCCGTTTTGTTTGGTTGGGTTTTTAAACCCACTGTCGCGTCGGGCTGCCGAGACCGACATTCCCCCGCGCGGCGCTCGGAGCCAGGCCGAACAAGGGGTCTCCGGCACACCACGGTCCCGCCCGCCGCGGCCGGCGCTCGGCTGCGCGCCGCGGGGGTTCGCCTCCGGCCGCCATGTTCCCGACGCGAGAGCCGCCCCCAAACCCGCCCCTCCCTCCCGCCGGCTCGGCCTGGGCCCCGCGCGGCCCGACGCTTTCAACTCGCCCCCGCCCCCCGCGCCCACTCGACGGCTGCGCGCTGTGCGCCTGCGCGCGGGGCGGCGCGGGAGCGGGCGGGGGCGGCGGGCCGGGCTGCGGCTTGAAAAGGCCGGAGACGCGGGGAGCGGGGGAGGGGGCCGGGCCCGAGCCGCCGCTCTCCGCCCCCCCATCGGGTCCCCAGCTCCGGCCCGGCCGGCTCTCGCACGTGCGCGCTAAAAACCCACTTCAAAGTCCGCTCCGGCGCGCCCCCTCTGGGGCCAGCCTTCGGGCCCTCGCGCGGGCCGCCCACAGCCCCGGGCCGCGCCTCCCCCTCCGATCCCGGGCGGACTGCGGGCCCCGACTGCGGCCGCCCGGCTCCCGGCGTCAGAAGGTTCCTTCTCCGCCCTACCCCCACCTCCCGGGGAAAATGAATGGGGCGCAAAGTTAGCGGTCTGCGCTACGCCGCGGCCTTCGGAGCTCACCATTGTCTGGGCTCGTATTGACCCCAGGTCCGGATTAGGCAGCGGATGATTCCTGCTTTACAGCCTCGCCGGCCTAATGAGGCCGGGAGGCGATGGGGCGCGAAGCGTCCTCGGAGCGCCGGCGACCGCCGGCTTACGACCGCCCAGGGCCCTGGAGGTGGAGGTCAAAGGGTCAGCGGGCCGAGCCCGCCAGAGAAGTGACCCTAGGAAATGAGGTCCCCTCCCCGGGGCCCCAGCGAGAACTGGGGGTATGCACCGACCGGACGCCACGACCACGGGCCGGAGGACAGGCTAGCGGGAGCCCTGACTTCCGAAGCGCCCGGCCTCGTCCTCAGGCCCAGCCCGACGAGAGATGAGCCTCGAGGGTCAGACAGCCAGAGCGAAAAGCAGCCTCGCTGCCCAAGTAGAGCCAGCTCTTCGGGGCCTCAGGGGCGGGGCGCGCCGGGGGCGATGCTTTCAGAAACTTAAGTGGCAAGAGGCCCTGTGAGTTTTTTTTTTTCTTTTTTCGTCCGTTTCAGGGGTTTTATAGGGAGAGGGAGAGAAGAGGTAGCCAGGGGCGAAGAGGCAGGGAGACAGCAGGCGACAAGAAGGGGGAGGGGCGAGGAAGTCCAGAACACAACTTTCCTGGGAGGCTTTGTGAGGAGAGGCGGTTCCTCTTGCACTCCCACCTTCGCGGTAGCTAAGACCCACTGTCCTGCCCAACCTGTACACTGATCTTTAACCTTCCACCGGGACGAAGGCCAGATTTGTGTGTGCGTGGAAATAGACACCTCCCCTCTCCCCACCTAACTGTGGAAATCTCCAGCTAAACCACCCATTTTGGAAAAGAGAATGGATTGCTAACAAAGGTCTTAACAGGTGCGAAAAGGAAAATAACAGGTAGATCACTAAGAGCCCAGCTGTTATTCGTGGTTGCCAGCTGATCCGTCCTTAGGGTTGCAGGGGATTTTTTGGGGGGGGGCGGGGGAGTGCTTATTCTATAAGGTATCTACTAAAGAATGAAGAATGTGCACTTCCAGAATCAGATTATAGGAAGAAAATCTGTTTAAAGTTTTCCACCAAAAAAAAAAACAAAACAAAAAACCCAAAACACAAAACCTATTCTTTGCAACAGACGACAAGGGCAGAAAACAGACCTTTTGAGAAATATGATGGTACACCAGACTAGAGAATCTCATGTAAAGGGGCAAGGTTTTTACATTCTCTTCATGTTGGTTATCGTCGTTAATTAGCATCTGCTCCACTTAGGACACAATACTTTACTGTAAAATGTTATGGTATAATAATTTCAATAATTTCCTACTAAGGAAAGCTCAAACTCTTCTTTATGCCTCCTCAGGAGATACTTCATATATTTAATGGAGAGGAGAAGAAACAAGTTTCTGAGTAACCATAACCCATCACTCTACTCCCCTTTAAGGTTAGGTTAACTTGGGGGTGGAGAGGGAACTCATGAACAATAAAGTATGCAAGTTCAATGCAAATTTAAGACGACATTGTTCAGACCTCAGTTGGAACACGTTTAAAAGCCAATCTTACTAACATACACTTTCGGAAAATTTGCTGAGCATTTCAAAGAGTCTCTGGTTTGAAGTGAAGGAAAAGTCCTGAAAAAGGAATTTGCTCCAGCACCCTCAATGTCAAGGTCAAGATTGGAGCGTCTGGGGTAGCAGTAGTAGACTGACGAGTTTACCTGCTTGTCACTGTGAAATCATCCCAATCTCTGTTCATGACATTCAAGTCCCCTGCCTTGGCTATTGGTGGAGAAAAGTGCAAAAACATCCATTCTCCACAATCAAAAAATCGCATCCAAAGTAACTTGCGATTATACATTGTCAATAATTAATTGTTGACAAAGAGCAGAAGACAATTTAAAATAGACTGCTTCCACTGAATCCAGGGGATCAAAGTTTTTTAATCATCAGAAGTTGTCTGAGTATTTCAATTTAAGATTGATTTATTTGAACATGAAAAAATCAGGCACCAAATACAAAAATGGTATAACATAAATAAGATGTGCCAAGACTTTATTTCTTCAATAAGAACAATAAACAAAATTCTAGCATTCAAAATGATTATGTATATTACCAAATTGCCACCAAAAAACCTAGAGCATTGCCCCTTCAAGAGAAGGAGGTACTTAATCCTATTCATTACATCTCTAAAATTCTTTACAATTCCTCATCTCCACCATTCTATTTGATGATTTGCAAGTTGGTTATTCATGCAGAGATTGGGTTCTCAATATTAAACAGCACCCTAAATTAGTAAAAAAAAAAAAAAGTCTCCACTCTACCCATTCCAACCTCCCCCCAATAGTAATCCGTTTCATTTCCATAGAACAACTGTAAAAGAACTGTTTGTCCATATGAGTTGCTTCTCTGAAGATTAAGTGGATTGTTAATATTTTATCACAAAGCAAACAACCATTTTTCATTGTTATTGATTTTAATGGAAACAATGCTCTTAACATCTTTGCCTACAAACCATGAACTTTAAAAATACATATTTTGCAAATGTTTCTTTCCATAGTATCATTTCAGAACCGCTGCAGTTATTACACCGCTATAAAAATGTTATGAAGAATTGTGATAATTATGAGTTGAAATATATACAGCAAAACAAATCAGCCTTTGCCTTCCAAAATTGTAAATGGACTATGGTTCTTTTAAGAAGCACTTTAACCATAAGTAAGCACGGCTCAACTGGCCTTACTCATTACCACTGTTTCAGACATACTCTTACTTTTTGAAAATATATAGATAGCTAGATAGATTTGATAGCAGATTAGATAAGTCATAGATAAAAACATATATAGGTATATGGGTGATCGCTCGATAGAATAGACAGACATGCATCCTGCCACAATGTTCATTTTTATGTAAGATAATAAAAAACTAAGGGACATAAAACTCATTAGGTTACCTTATGTTTATATATGTAGGGCAGGGATGATTAAATCCAGCTTCTCAGTCTTTGAAGTACAAGATTGAGATGTCATGGCCACTAACTGAATTGATCGGTAATATTTGATTTGCATGCTGAAAATCCAGGACAAACACATTTAAACTCGCAGTTAAACAACCATCTGAGCTAAAGATAAAGAAAGGAGGGTATTCTCAGATGGAAACTGACACTGTAAGGAATCTATACTGCAATAGAAAAATAATTTAACAATTAAAAAAGGGATCTGAGTGAGTTATAAATACCAACAAACAAGATTTCATTTGCTCACATCTCCTCTTTGTAGAAGGAGGCTGTTACAAAACAAGAGAAAGGAGTCAGTGGTTCAAAAATTGTAAATTGTGTTCTTCTTTCAAAACAATAAAATTTTAATGCTAAAGCAGTTATAATCAAAAGCTGTACAGAATTTGTTAGAAAACATTTATCCATAAATATTGTTCAGTTCCCGGCACTTGTAGCAATAATTAAATTACAAACGATAAATATGGCATCAATGGTTATGTATTTACAAAAAAAAAAGTTATTACAAAAGGCAACTGTATACTAAACGTCACAATCTGTGTAGAGTAACATCACATCCTCAGCCTGAAAAAATACTGAACAACAGTTTCGACCCCATTAGACAAAAATACATTCACAAGTGTAATGCTTTGAGAAAAAGTTCAAGACATAACAGGACTTTGGCACGGTTTAAGACTGTGAGAGTTTAAACAATCACCACTAAGGCGAAGGATTTCCATCAGGTTAACACCACCAACCACCAACAAGCCTTCTATAACTTCCTCTCAAGAAACAGGACAAGTGTTAAAATGAACTGAAAGAGTTCAGGGATGGGGTGTGCAGAGAGCAAGAGAAATGGGAGGGAAAAGCAGTGAAAAGATTTTTTAAAAAATCCTTCGAATGCCAAAACATATTTTCTAATCCTGAGAAAAGGGCATGGCTACTTTTGGATCTTGCCCCAGAAACTTCCTGGACAATTGCAATTTACAAGATGTACCCCTATATATATATGGCCTCTTGCCTTAAAATTCCATTTCCATCTGATTGGTCTCAGTTTCCTTTTTAAAATGCATTTGGTCCATTCTATGGTTAACAGGGTTTGTTTTTTGTGTTTGTCCTCAGACGTACCATTCGTTAAAATTAGGAGGAAGTCCAGGGTTGTGGCTGGTGCTAGTTTGAACTGCAGAAGGGGTTTTAGTGGTATCTTTACTGTTTGCAGAAGCTATAGCGGGTGGAGTGGAAGATTCATAGCCTGAACTGGCAGCAGGGGAGGAATCTGACCCTTGAGATTCATGAACCTAAAATTAACATGTATATATTATAATGAATATAATTCCAACTGGCATTGTGCAAGCAAAAACAAGAGCAGAATTCGAGCACTGTAAGAGCAAGACCGCCCAGTGACCCACTTAAAAGAGAAATGCTGCTGATTTTTTTTTCTGTTTTTCTGTTTTTTTGTTGTTGTTTTTTTTTTTAAATTCCCATATCACCGGTGTCTAGAACCCCCGGAGATGTTCGCCAACAAAACAGTTTCAGTCCTTAGGAATGGCATTATGCAGAAGGAATAAAGCACTGTTTTACTTGTGCCCCTTCAAAAATGCATTCCCCAGGGGTGGAGTGGATAAGCACTTAGTCTTTGGGGTCCTATAAAATACTCCAGGCCCAGGTTTCACCAAGCTCGCTTTAGCTTGGGAAAGCAGGTACAGAGAGAGGTGGCACAGGCGCCCAGAGAGCTGCGAGGTCTCAGACAATTGCGTGGGAATCAGAGCGCGCTCCTCAGCCCTATTGTTTTATCGGAAGCCGAAGAGCGAATGAACCACCCACCCCCGGGTTCGGCGCGGGCATTCTGGGTTCCCACCGCGGGCTGAGCGGGCAAGGGGCAGCATCTGCCACCTCAAGCCCAGGCGAGCTCGGTTAGAGCTCCTCAGTAAACAACCGATTGTTCCCTCAGCTCCCTCCACCTCCCCACTGTGCTCTTCCCCGCCTCCCCCACCTCAGGGTCCCCAAAACGGGTTCAAGGTGTCACCGCTGGAGCAAATCGGATTTAACGTGGAGTATACAGGGTTGGCAGCGCGGGCGCTTCCGTTCCGCGGCCCGGTGTCGGGCCGAGTGTTTATAAACCGCCGACCGCTAATAAAGAGGTAATTACCTTCATGTGCTTGCGCAGGGAGCTCGGGTGCGTGTAGGACTTGTCGCACACTTTGCAGATATAGGGCTTGTCCGAGGTGTGCACATGCATGTGCTTCTTGCGGTCGCTGCTGTTGGCAAAGCGTCTGTCACAGCCTTCAAATTCACATTTGAAAGGTTTCTCACCTGCAAAGGGCAAGAGCGCAAAGGGGAGGAAATATGGTCAGGGCCCGGCGCTTCCTCGGGCCGCACTGTGAGAGATGGAGAGCCCGGCGGTCTTCCCGGAGAGGGAGCGCCAACTGGGGGAGGCTGTGGCATCTCTTTTCCCTGGAGAAAAATGGAGAGGGCGGGTTGAGCCTGCTGGGCTGGGGGGGGTGGTGGTCGAGAACGGGGATGGGGACGGGTCGGCCCAGAACCTGCCCTCCCCTTTGTTCTCGCGCAGGAGGGCAGGGCCCCTGGCTCCGGCAAAGTTTCCCCTAAGTTGTGGTGCTAGTCCCCCCGGCCCAGGGCTCCCGGGGCGCGGCCACTTTCCGCCAGTACCTCGGCGATGTAACCAAGCCCGGGCGGGACAATGGGCCAGGAACGGGACAATCCCATTCAGTTCCTTCTTTGTACCTTTTAATTTGCCTCTTTCACATGCAGCAGTTTTGCTAAGCCCGGTATTAAAGAGCTGGGGTCGTCGTGCTTAACGTTGGAAAAGAGAATGCTATATAAATCGAGGGGCTCAGACAGTTTTACAAGATGTTCTGAACAAGCCGCGGAACTGGGGTGCCTTTTCTACTTTAGCTTTCCTCCTGGAGGACTGAATTGAACCTGGAACTCCAAATAAAAATAGTTTGACAAAAGTATCAGTCATTTAATTAGCAGATGTGCCAATCAAGGGTAAAAAAGAGCGGAAGTAACCGAAAGTTAGTTGGCATTAGCATTTGTATAGTTGCCTTCCCCGAATGTGTGCCGGGAGCTAAGTCGCCTGTAAGCAATACGCTCTCCACACATTCGCGGTCCCTGCCCAGTAACCCAGAGAGGGAGACAAAAAGAGGCGGCGCCAGTCGGTTCCTGGGCGCGAGAAGGTTCCAATTAGTTCCCGAGACCGCGGAGCCGTGTGCCCGGGAAGTTAGAAGTGGGCAAAGGCGCCGCGGGGCGGGGCGGGGAGGGCGGGCGGGCGCGAGGCGGAGGGGCACTGACAGCGCCTCTTTCCCAAAGGGCCCCGGCGGGGCGCCGCCCCTCTCTCGCGCCGCCACCCCGGTCCCCCTCGCGGAGGAAAAGTCGGCTCCGTGGCGCGGCGCCGCGGCGAGTCCCGCGCCCGCCGGCCGCCCCCCTTACCTGTGTGGGTCCGCTTGTGGATCTTGAGGTTCTCGGAGCGGGCAAAGATCTTCCCGCAGCCCGGGAAGGGGCAGGGGAAGGGCTTCTCGCCCGTGTGCACGCGAATGTGGTTGACCAGTTTGTACTTCGCCTTGAAGGACTTGCCCTCGCGGGGGCACTCCTCCCAGTAGCAGACGTGGTTGTTCTGCTCCGGGCCCCCCACATGCTCCATGGTGACATGTGTCACCAGCTCATGCATGGTGCTGAAGGTCCGGTCGCAGCTCTTCTTGGGCCGGCTCAGTTGAGCCTCGTCGATCCACTTGCACGACAGCTCCTGCTTGATGGGCTGCCGCATGTAGCGGAAGAAGGCGCCAGGCCCGTGGTGGGCCGCCACGTTCACGCCCATGTTCATGTTCATGGGGCTGTAGTTGGGGAACTGCGCGCCCGCCGCGTAGGGGTCCGTGCGCGGGCTGGCCACCGGGCGGTACGGGTCGGCACGGCCGAACAGCTCCCCGCGGAGCCCCAGGTGGACCTGGTTGTTGTCCACGTGCCCCGTGGGCGACGGGTGCCCGGCGGTCTGCTCGTGCAGCCCGGGGAAGAGCAGGTAGCCGGGGGGCTCGGGGATGCCAGCCGGAGCGTGCAGGCTGCTCGCCGAGCCGGCGAAGAGCCCATGCTGCCCTCCTCCCGAGGCCGCCTCGCCGAGCCCGGAGCCGCGCTGGCGGAACAGAAAGTCGCGCGTGGAGTTGAAGGCGGCGGAGGCGGCGCCGCCGTAGCTGGGCACCTGGCCGGCGTGATGGTGGTGGTGGTGGTGGTGGTGGTGGTGGCCCAGGGCGTTGGCGTAACCTGAACCCTGCGGCGTGAACGCCGAGCTCTGGCCGGAAGACAGATCGTGAGCCGCGGCGGGGCTCAGCTTGAAGGCGGCGGCGGCCGCGGCCGCGGCGGCGGCGTGCGGCGAGTCCCCGAAGGGATTCAGCCCCATGCCCGCCGGCTCGCGGTTGGGCATCTCGTGGTGGCGCGGCGCGCCGAAGCTGCCCACTCCCAGCCCGGGGAACTGAGGGCCTCCGTCCAGGAGCATCGTCATGGGTGGGGCGTTCTGGGCACCGGCGGTCCGGCCGAAGGGAGCGAAGGCGCGGGCGAAGGAGATCTCCGAAGTGCCGTAGTCGGAGAAGGGCGGCGGCGGCAGGACGCGGCCGGAGACCCCCACGGCGGCACCAGGGGCTGCAACTTTCCGAGGCTGGCGAGAGTCTCCTGCAGAGGGATAGGAGGGAGGAGGGGAAGTGGAAGGCGCGGGAGGGGGAGGCGGGGGAGAGGCAGGGGGTCGGAGAAGGGAGGAGAAAAGACTCTGGGACGAGATCTGCTTTACCAAACTAACAGGCGCGCACAAAGAAAAATAAGCAAAATACTAAGTGGAGGGCGGAGTTTGCCAAGCCGGTCCCGGCTCCCCCCTCCCCGAGCGCGCGGCACCGCGGGGCCGGCAGGCTCCCTCCGCACCGGCCTCCCGGCTGCGCTGAGCTGACTAGCGGCGCCCGCTCGCAGCCAGCGGGCGGCCGGCGGGGCGGAGGCAGGCTCGGTCCTCGCCGATCGCCGCGCGAGTCCCAGCCTCTTCGCCTCCAGAGTAATGTCCTTGGACTGATAAAGTCAATCACTCACTCCGCTCACATAAACCGAGCGGGAGGCCGCGCGGCGCGCGCCAATGGGGAGCCGGCTGGCCCGCGGTCACCTGACCCCCGGCCCGGCCGCCCATTGGCCGCCGCCCCGCTGATTGGCAGCGCGGAGCGGGGAACATGGCAGCCGCGGCCGAGCGGGCGCCGCTGATTGGGCCGCAGCCCGGCGCCTGGCAGGTGAGGCGGCGGCGGCGCGGCGCCCGCGAGTGGGCTCCGCGGCGCTGGCGCGGCCGTGGGCGCCCGGAGCCGGGCTCGAGCCGCCGGGCGGCGGGGCGGACCCGGGCCTCCCCCTCCGGCTTCCCTCGGGCCCGAAGCGGGCGGCACCGCTCGCGCGCGCGTTCCCCGCTTTGGCCAAACCGGCGCTTGGCGCCGCGGAGGATCGTTCCCACCGTCGGCGCGCTGCTGGACGTCCGGTCCCTCTGGGCTCCCCCCGGCCTCTTCACCCCGAGAACGTGACCCCCTCCCGCCGTGGGACCCCGATCCCCGGGCGAGCGCACACGTTCGGCGCGCGCGGCCCGTCGGTGGCGTTCTCCCCACTGGCCACCGCGGGCCCCCGGAGCCCCCAGAGCCCTGACCCTGGCCTCCAGTTCGCCTCCCTTACCCCTAGCTGCCGCCGGCCGGCCGGGCCCCGCCAGGAGACATGATTCCAGCTGGAGCCGACCTTCCTCACCGGTCGGAGCCAAGCGCTGACTCGAGTTTGCGAGTAGTGGTTACACTCGCCGCTGGCCCCCACCCCCGCGGATGACACACCAGACACGCAACCAACACACCCAACACAGCAAATATCAGAACGTAGCGGGAGACACGCACGCCACACAGCAAACACAAGCACATGAAACAGCTCCCAACTAAAGACAACAGTAAGCGCACAGCACAGCACCAAGCCCCACACAAAACAGTCCACACATGCAAGAAACTAGGCACAGTGTAAACACAGACACAGAACTCAGTAACACGCACAAACACAAATACTGAACATGCCCAGGACGAGCTTAGCCTGTGTGCACAAAACATGCAACAACACACTGCAAGATAAGCCCCACTGCACACACACAGGATCAGCAGGGTCTTCAAACCGTGTCGCTACTCAGCTTCGAATTCTCAACGTTTTCAGTTACAAAAGTGGGGAGGTGGGAATGGGGACTGTGAGGTGGAATGTTCTTCACTCTGGATAGCCCAGGCATTGCTCTCGTCCACATCTGCCCGGAGAAGCCTTTGGTGACCTTGGGGACCTGACCTCTTAAGGATTTACTTTCCAGGGTTCTGTGTGGGATCCGCCCTGACCCCAGTCTGGTGCAGGGTCTTTCTGGACATAATGACCACGTTCACACACTGCTGTAAATCCATTCTCTCTCTTTTTTTTTTTTTTTTTTTGGTCCGGCAGGGCATGTGCAGAGAATGTAGAAGAGTGAGAGTGTGAACCAAAAGCCGAGAGAAAGATGACTGTGATTGTCACATCCCCAGCGGGGCCGAGCCCCAAAGTCTTCGCCTGGATGCAGCCTCACAGCCTGGCCGCCATCTCTCTGTAGGGAACTGAACATCCGATCAAGTTCAGAGGCACTGGGAGAGACCGCCTCAAGCAGAGCTTTATAACTGCAGCCTTTCACTTCCTGCCCCCCAATCCGCCTGGCCAGGCCAAGACTTCACCTTCTTTCTTTGCCAGTTTGCTAGGGGGACACCCTGCCGGTAGTACACTCACCGTAGTCACCCCTCCCAGCAAACTCGCCCCAATCCTGAGCTCTCTCCCCAGGTTGGAAGGTGAGTTCGCGGCTCACTTCAATTATTACAACTACTGAAAATAGGCTCCCCAAGAATGATTTCAGTGTCGCTCACTAGAAGGTTTCTGGGGGGTTGGGGGGGCAGAGCAGAACAAATACGCTAAATCATGCAAATGAATTCCCCGGAGTCAGGTTGAGAAAATGGGAGGACTGCCTGCTTGCTTCCCCACCTTTCTGCTCGCTTTCCCCCTGCACACTTCCTTCCCTCTACCTTCTTCACCTCCCCCCAACCCCCACTGCCGCTGGGCGCTGTCGCTGGTGTGAAAAGTTTGGATTTCCTCGAGTCTCCAGTCCAGAGGAGAGCGGTGCTCGAGGGCCAGGGGCGGGGAAGGGGCGGCTGTCCGGCCCTTGCCCCGACAGCGCAGATGCGAGGGTTTCCGGGGAGCTCCGCCAGGTACCCCGAGAACCAGGGACCTTGAGCGTTTGGGAGTCAAGGCCGGCAACCGCGGTAGGGGCTGCGGAAGGAGGGCCGCTGAGGCAAACTAGCCGGCCCCTTGTGGGGCGGGGTCCCCAGCGCAGAGCAGGGGACCTCGCGGCCGCTGACCTACCCGGTGCCCAGTGTCCGTTTTGATATGGCCACATTCCGATAATTAATTGCCTCCAGCACGTGCTCTGCAGTCCCTGGAACAAAAAAGCATAATTCAATTAGATCATCAACCGAGAAGTGTGTGTGTTGGGGGGGGGGTGCTTGTTAAGGGGCCGACCTAAGGTGGTTGAGCCAGGCCAAAACCCTGGGCGGTGGGGCCCTTCCTGGGACAGCTCGGGGCAGCCTGGCCCAGCCGGAGAGTGCGACTCTGAAGGGGGTGTCCTTGCTTAATGGGGTGCGGGGACCCCACATGCTCTCAAGAGGACTAGGCTTGGCTTTGTGAACAGCAGGGCAGAGGCAGGCAGGCCATTTCAAATTCTACTTTGGTTGGTGTGGGGGAAGGTTTTCTTGGGGGGGGGTGCGGAGGGGAATCATAAACCCTGAAACACGACAGAAAGAGAAATATCTTCAGAAATAGCAAGTTATGGCCTGTGAAAATAAAGTCCCTCCCCTGGGCAAAGCAAATAACTGTCAGGCAGTAACACGAACACTAATAATAATAAGCAAAGTTTTCCAGATTACCTGCAGCCCCCACCCATCAACTTCTTCAGAGGGGACCCTGGGAACAACTTCAGGGGGACAGAGGACTCCAGGAAGCTGGGTCTGAGAGCAAAGTGGTGGCTGAAAAAGGAAAGCAAAGAAAAGTTTTTTCTGCACAGAGGCTGGGGCCAGGCAGAAGAGAGCTCGCCTTCGTTTTCCAGGTGGAGAAAGGAATGGCTGGGCCGGGCAGGCAACTGGAACCCAGGGGTCCTGGTTCTTATTTTACGCTGTAACTGAGGCTCCCCTGGCAGCCTTGGCTTACTGGGGTTTGCATGTGTATTAGGCAGCGTAAATTAACCAATAAATCTCTTTTATGCGTCCCCCAGTTGTATGTGGTCTGGTCTAAATATCCATATGTGTGTATGGATAGGAAATATAATGGGATCCTTCCCCTCACACTGAGTCCAAACAGTAAATAGTGGGGAAAGATGTATTTTCATGCCTAAATCTGAAGCAATAAATAAAACCAGTGAAACCGATCAACACAGCAAAGCCTTTGAGCCGGAATTTTAGGATCCGTTTTGGAGAAGCAGGAGAGAAGCCCAACATCCAGAGGACCAGCAGAGACCAACTGGTCTCTCTGCACAACCCAGAGCCCACCGCAGCACTTTTCTCTCTGGTCTCCTAAAAAACAAAACATGTACAGCATGTTGTGCTCTCCAGCAGGATTTCTTTCTAAACACGTTTTCTGTGGTGGACATGAAATTATCCGAAGTCGGAGACCTAGCAATTTTCTTTAAGTCCAAGGGAAACACTGCGGTCTTTTCTGTTTTGTATTTAGAAAAGACTTGCAATCTTACACTCGCAACATTTTAAAGACCCTTTAAACCCAGCAAGCGGATTTCCGTTCTGCCAATGCTTCCTGATTTATTTCAATAAATGAATCTTTGAATCCAGGAAGGGAATTATTCCAAGGCACTGAATTTGGTGCGCCTGCTTCTTCCTAGTGGAGCACACAGTGTTTCTCGTTGAAACATGTCCTTGAAACTCACCATTATTCGCATTTTCCCCTGGTAAACGGCACTTTACAAAAATCCCCACCCTCTCTTCAGAGTCCCAGATCTTTTTAAAAGAAAAACTGCAAATTGCAATAAAAAATGAAGGGGGAAGCAAGCTGGGGAAAGAATGCGTTTTTAACTCCTCTTTATTTTTATGCTAAGATAAAGCTCTTAATTGGCTTCAGGGCCCGAGCTGAACGGGCGATCTCCGGAGCTCCGGGGCCTGTGGACGTACTTGCCAACCCTCACTGCACTCCGGATTTTGCTGGTGCGTCAGAATTTCCACTATATTCCCATCATTTGACAAATATTTCCTGAGCCTCCCAACCCTTAAATTCAGTGCAGAATGAACAAATAGATACTGTTAATCAACCCTTTTTAAAAAAAATCTGTTTTGCCTTTGTCCTCTGCAGTCCAAGGCATATTGCTGCCCAATGCAATGAAATGCAAGCCAGATGAGACATTTTCATTGTAGCTGTCAATCAAGACTGTAGTATGCATGCATGCATGCGTGTATGTATGTACGTACATTTGAACTTCAAGGACAGAGGCCGGGGAGTTGAACTAGAGCTCTCAGAATCCAGCACTTGAGGTTATGAAGAAAGTCCCTGAGAAGCAAGAAATGGAATGAAACCCTAGGAGGTGGGCAGTGCTGGGTCACCAGCTAGGTCTGCAGGCAAGGCTCACGGCGAGTTGTTGTTGTCCTGGTCCCCTAAGTCCCGCTGCCATCAATACCTTTACTGCTCTAAGAGGTGCCCCGCTGTTTGCCTCCAGGCCCTGAGTGTCAAAAGGACAAGTCACAGCAGAAGAGGGCTTCCCCTTTCCTTGGGGATCAGAACACACTGCAGGTGGGGAGTGCCCAGGCGAGGGGCCAGGGAGACCCGGGCAGAGGCAGAGATAGACAATGATGCATTTGATCGGTGTTTACAAGTCCTTCTCCCGGGACCTAAAGAGATGGGAGAAGGAGAATGCATGCGGGGTGTGGAGCACACATGTACCCAGAACGCCATTCCGCTAGCTGCTGAGCGCTCTCTCTGCTCCCTCTGCTCCCTCCGCTCCCTCCGTTCT